TGAGTAAATGGCCATTGTTTTTGTGGTGTTATCGTGGAGCAACTTTAGATTAGAGTCTCTATATATAATCCCAAAATACAAGAAAATATTTAGAAACTTTAAGTACAATCTCTATTTTAGAAACTCTCTAGGATCTCTAATGGTGTTGATCTTTCAAAATCTCGAAAACATGAAAACTTATTGAGTTTAGAAACACTATTCAAGATGCCCTAAATTTTTTATTTTATTTTATGAAATGGATATATAAATATTTACAAGAAGAAAGAAGAAGTAAATATCCATTTTTCATGTGTTTTTTGCAATCTTTTTATAAATAGAACGGGACTTACTTTTTGGAGTTTGAAAATTGTTATTTGCAGTTCAAACCTAATTTTTTCTCTCTCTAAAAAATCTCTCTCGTTAACAATAAAAACTAATTTAGCATAAAATTATCTTTGTTGAAGTGATATATGAACACAGATGAACTCATCGGATGAAGATCGGGATACACATCACAACGAGGTAAAAATTTCATCATTTCGTTCGAAAAATCTGGACAGAAAGGGCAAAAGCCCAACCCGGGCGCCCGAAACTGTTTTACATGCGCAAGTTGGGCGTGTAAACCATCGATCCACGCCCATTTCGGGCGTGCAAAACCCCGGTCCACGCCCAAACCGGGCGTGTTCTGATATTTTTTTTTAATTTTTTTTACGCTTTTTTCAGGGAAACCAACACAATGCGAGGTAGACGTCAAGCGTGAGATATTCTAAATAGTGTTTGATTTACTTTAATTTTATCGGATTTAATGTATTATAGTATTTTATTATGTCGAACTTAGTACTTTATTATGTCGAACTTAGTACTTTTATTGGATTGACAAATCTGAATAAAAAAAAAAAAAAAAAAAAAAAAAAAAAACCTAACAATCCTGAATCAACAAAACGGAATAAAAAAGAAGATCAACAATCCAACATCAACAAGTGCTCGTAGTTGTTTAAAAATCATTGTCCGTTCGCCACGCCGTGTAAAACTAGTAACCTTTCAATTATGTTTGGGACAAATCAAAGGTCCCTTTCCTTTTCCCATCTTCAGTTTTTTAATCCAATTAAACATCCTGCAAATATAAAAGGTATTCAAATAAGTAAAAATGAAATTAAAAAAAAAAATATACTGCTGAACGCCCAGACCGGGAGCCCAAACCGGTTGGACGTTCACCGAGCGCAATTTTGAACAAAAAAACAGCCCTAGAATTCGTTTTTTAGGGCTGTTTAACATGCAATTACAACCAAATTTCATACCCAATGCAATTAAAACGTTTAGGAGTTGAAAATACCTCAAAATTTCGATGAATTTAGCTTCAATTCGAATTTTTTGATTTTTTTAGAGAGAGAAAGCTTTTTGGGTATGAACTGCAAATAGCAATTTTCAAACTCAAAAAGCATTTCACGAATAGAACACATCGGCCAATGAGAGATAGACACGGCCATGGGCCGGTTTTGGGCCCGGAATCGACCCGAACCGGCCTATTGACGACCCGACCCAACCTGTTGACCGGTGAACCGACCCGTCGTCCCCGGGACGGGCCCGGTTCTATGAAATGGTGAACCGTGAACCGTCGGACCGACCCGGCGGTTCACTCGGATTTAAAAAAAAAAAAAAAAAAAAAAAAAAAAAAGCAAATAACGGCTAGTGAACCGGCCCGAACCGGCCCGGGTGAACCGGCTGTTATTTGCTTTTTTTTTTAATTCCCCCCCCC